GTCATAAGACATTATACTTTTATAAAATTAATCCTATAAATATATGAGAAGTAATGTATAGAATAAAAAATAAATGCCACAATTGAAAAACTAGCCATCATTACTTTATTGAAAAGTGAAAATGATAGTCATTTTAAAACAAAATTTATTTGTTAAACGACAGTCATTTTAAAACGGAAAGTATTTTTTATTTGAAACATGAATAATTTAAATATTAATTGATAAACATGATTATTTGAGGATTTTTGTTGAAAAACAATTTTTTGATAAAAAAATCGATTTTTTACAAGTGAAATAACATTACTCTTTTATGTTCATTATAAAAATTAAAAAAAAAAAATTTTTGATGAAAAAATGTAATAAAAAACCGAGAAGCAGAGGGCATAATTGTCATTTCATTCTATTGAAAGCTAAAAAAACCCTAGTATCCTTCTCCCAACCCAGCCTTTGATATCAGTGAGCGAGTGTTACCGCCTCACTCTTCCACAACTCGCGCCGTTCCCAATTCTTCCGTCTCTCTCACTAGAATTCCAATTTCCATATTCCAAATGGTAAAATCAAATCTCTATCTTCATTCTTCTCATGTTTCTATTCTTCTTAATTGTATTCAATTCAATTTAATCAAATATATGCAATAAAATAATATTCTAGGGTTTGAAAATTGCTTATGTAATCCATTTTTAAGCTTATTTCGGTAAGCTTTCTAAATGTGTGTTTGGTTCTGCGGTGACGAGAATTGATTCTAGCAAAAAGTTAGTAAAGGTTAACTGATTTATGTTTGGATAAATTTATGTAGGAGTTAGTGAACAATAAATTTTAATGTAAAAATCACGTTTAAATTCAAAAGTGCTATAAATTCTAATTTCAAGTAGAATCAGTTTTGGAGTCAGAATCAATTCCACTCTAGAAGAACCAAACACCTCAAAATCATTGCAAAATCAATCCTACGCCTCTAGAATTTTGCTCAAAAGCTAAACCAAACATACACTAAGATAGTTTATTGAAACAACTTATAATTTATATAATAATAGTTGGACTTTATTTCATCTTTTGGTATAGAAATAACTTGTATATAAGCACTTAAATAAGTGTTTTATCCATAAAAGCTGATATCAAGAAGTAGCTAATCTGGTTTGGTATCTATCATGTTTATTAAAATTTACCAATATCAAGAAGTAGCTAATCTGGTCTTTGATTTTTGAAAATTTAAGTCTATGTAATTCACTATACAGAGTTATGCTTATATTCAATTCGAAAACAATGACTGAAATGAGTTTTGATGGTTAATTGTAACATTGCTTATGACATCATCCATATGAACAAATGCATATTTAAATTTGTTAGTTTAGAAGATAAAAACCAACATAACAAAATTCTGTTGGTCGTATTGGTTTAATATTAGTGGAACAAAGCAAAATTGACAAATAGTGATTATGACAGGCTGCAGAGAAGAAGCTTTCTAATCCCATGCGGGAAATCAAAGTCCAGAAACTTGTTCTCAACATCTCTGTTGGTGAGAGTGGAGATCGTCTCACCAGAGCTGCTAAGGTATTTTCTCGTTGTCTTTTTTACAGTTTCTCAATTTATTTCTTTCAAATTCATAACCATTTGTTTTCTCTTTTTCATAGGTTCTCGAACAACTTAGTGGTCAAACCCCAGTTTTCTCCAAAGGTACTTTCAATTGGAAGGTTATGTAACCATATTGAGTTAATTTTCATATCATGCTTTGAGAAACTAAGATCTTTCATAATAACTTCCACTTCGGTCAAACACTTATTTATGTATCACAGACAGACACTTCACAGTTGAAAATGTGTCTATGGCGTGTCCGTGTTCGACACATGTATGCCATTGATACATGTGGTTACACTCAATCATCACAGTTTTCTTAAATTATTTCTAGTGTTTGTGTTAGTATCGTGTCTTTGCCGGTGAAAAATGAGAATGTAACCATAATTTTGAGTTTTCTTAAATTTATTTCTAGTATTTGTGTTAGGATTCTAGCCTATATATGTCAATACATGACATAATATACACATGTGATGGATATTTGGGTTGGGGTTGTGCCCTGATTGGTTCTTCTTTTTCTCTTGCGTGTTTATTGACAGCTAGGTACACTGTCCGTTCTTTTGGTATTAGAAGGAATGAAAAGATTGCATGTTACGTAACTGTTAGAGGCGATAAGGCAATGCAGCTTTTGGAGAGCGGGTTGAAAGTGAAAGAATACGAACTTTTGAGGAGAAATTTCAGTGATACCGGGTGTTTTGGCTTTGGTATTCAAGAACACATTGACTTGGGAATCAAGTAAGCTGAAAAAACCATATTATAATTTGTGCTGAAATAATCTTCATACTTATTATACATATAGTTGATATGTGTATTTTGTATATTCTGGTATTATGATGAAACTTTAATAATTGGCGTTTTCTCATTGATGTTTAAAATTATGTTTCAGGTATGATCCTTCTACTGGAATTTATGGAATGGATTTCTTTGTTGTGTTGGAGCGCCCTGGTTACCGTGTTGGACGTCGTCGCCGTTGCAAGGCACGTGTAGGAATCCAACACCGTGTCACAAAGGAGGATTCGATGAAATGGTTTCAAGTGAAATATGAAGGTGTGATCCTTAACAAGTCCCAGGCAATTTAGTCGGATCATACCATTTTTATGCATGAGTTTTAGATTTTGTTGAGTGTAGTTGATATTTCTTGAATCGGTAGCTTAAACTTCATTGGTATGGATACTACTTTTACAAGTTATGTGAGCTTTTTATTTGATTTTTTTCTAAATATCATCTATTTTTGACATCAATATTGGTAGCCCGCCGATGTTACCCAGTGAGGTTTGTTGATGAATATTACAGAATATCACATTTTTTTTATGAAGAATATCACTTAACTAATGTCATTTAAATTGTTTTTTCTACAAAATATATTTGAATAACTAAAATAACATTAATACTTGAAGAATTAAATTCATTTTTGGTGACAAATCTGTCAAGAAACTCTTGAACTAAAACCTTGGCGTTCATATGGTCTTATTCAACTCCAAGAATCAGCAAAGATGCTTTAATTGATTAATAACAATAAATTGTTTAAGGACTAAGCCTTAAATAGTGTCGATGTAAACCCAATAAAAAAATTATTAATTTGTCAAATTATTTAAGTTGTTTTAAAATATCTTTAAATCGATTTAAAATATACCTTGTAAATGCATCTCCTATTTTCTCATTTTAAAATGTTTACAACGTTTTTTTAAAGAAAATTTGGCATAATTTACATATTTGTATAAAAATGCATAAAATGTAAAAATCAATTTGCAGAAGAAAAAAATCCAAAAATTTAAAAACTACTGTTCATTGGGTTTTTTTACGTTTGCCTAAAAAAACCCATAAATAAAAAAAACTAATGTTCATTGAATCTTTTTATAGTTGCTTACATTTTTTCAAAGTTAAAGACTATAAAGAATCCAAAAATAAGAAAAACTACTATTCATTGAATCTTTTCACATTTGCTTAATTTTTTTCAAAACTAAAAACTATAATGATCAATTCAATCAAGATAAAGAGCCTCCGGTTTACCTTTGTAAAAATTGATTTGGAGTGAATTGATTTTGTAGAATTGATTCTATTTTAAAATAATATATTATATATAAAATAATTTATATTCAAATATATTTATGTAAAAGTGAGTTGAACAATAAATTTAAGCATAAAAATCATTTTTAAATTTTAAAACCACATTCTACCTTTAAATAAAATTAATTTTACTTTAGAAGAATCAAATATTTTAAAATCATTGCTTTTGACTCTTTCAAAATCTAAGTCAAACATACACTAAGATAGTTTATTAAAATAACTTATAATTTATATAATAATAGTTGAACTTTGTTTTATCTTTTGGTATAGAAATAACTTATATACTTAAATAAATTGTTTATAAAAAAAAAAAACGATATTGAGTAGCTAATTTGGTTTGGTATCTATTATGTTCATTAATATTATCATTGTCTAAGATACTTTTGATGTTTGAACATGTAAATCTATGTAATTGACTATACAGAATTATTATGTGGCAATGTCGGTGTAAGTTTTGTGTTTGGGAGTGTCTGTGTTCGTGTTCCGTAGCATAGTTATGATTTTATTAAATTTGAAAACAATCATAGAAATGAATTTGTTGTGATTATCAACACAAGTTAAATTTGTTTGTTTAGGAGATGAAAACCAATGATAAAAATCCGAGATAACAAAATAGTGTTTGTCATATTGGTTTAATTAAATATTAGTGGAACAAAGCAAAATTGACAAATAGTGATTATGACAATGATACATATGTATGATGTAGTTGTTTTATCTTTTGAAGTGTATTTTTCACTGCATTGATGTTTAAAATTACGTTTCTAAGTATGATCCTTCTACTGGCATTTACGGAATGGATTTCTTTGTTGTGTTGGAGAGCCCTGGTTGCCGTGTTGGACGTCGCCGCCGTTACAACGCACGTGTTGGAATCCAACACCGTGTGACAAAGGAGGATTCCATGAAATGGTTTCAAGTGAAATATGAAGGTGTGATCCTTAACAAGTCCCAGGCAATTTTGTCGGATCTGGCCATTTTTATGTATGAGTCCTAGATTTTGTTGAGTGTAGTTTGGTATTTATTGAATTGGTATGGATACTACTTTTACAAGTTAAAATTTCCAGTATTTATTAAAAAATTAAATGAGGGTCATCGAAAACTATTATGACAATATACTAAATTTTGAGCAAACAAATAAACTAAGAATGTATAATAACCATAATTTCCTTTTTATTCATCGATATGAATCTGAATACGAGGGTCATCGAAAACTAAGAAATCCCAAGAAAAACTACTTTATATGAACATAATACAAAGATGGAAAGTTTATTTTAGATTAAAAAAACCGCTCTGTTCAAATACAGATCAAGAGAAGCCCATACAAAAACAAAATTTCAATACTAAACATCCTAATACCAACATAAACACTAGTGCTTATCTTCCTTAGGTATGTCTTTTGGAGGAACCTTTGATTGTAGTTCTTTTGTAACCCTGAAAAAATAACAAAAATCATATCATATTACATCCTATGAATTATCTAATATAAGTAAAAAGTCAGAAAACCATGACAATTGTCACTAACATTGTGATAACCAAAAGTGTTTTCACATTATTTTGTTGATTGTGAAGAACTCAATATAGTAATTTATAAATTGGCCCAAATGGTCATCAAATTCATATCAGAAAACGGAAAGTATGAACTTCCATGCCAAAATGCATGTTTACCACCCAAATCAATTTTATCAAACTATGAATCACAACACAAGGGTGGTTGGTTTCTACATTGATAAAAAATTGATTCTATAAAACTGATTATGACAAGACCAAGAGTGAATTGTATTTAGATATATTCATGTAAAAGTGAATTGAACCATTAAGAGTATTAAGAGTGTGTTCAGTTATGCGGTAAAAAATATTGATTTTTAGTGAATTAATTCTGAAAATTTTTGGATAAGTTTTTTAAAAAATGAATTGAACCGCAAATTTCAATTTTAAAATCATGTTTAAACTCAAAGCAACATATCTTAACTTCTAGTAGAATCAATTCTTAAAAGCATAATTAATTTTGAGTATCTCAAAGCTAAAACCAATTTGGTAAGCAAAAACTACAAATTAATTCACTAAACTTTTCAAGCTATATCACAATCAATTGAAAGTTAAAATAACACATGTCAATCCACAATCTCTTCACCAAAAAAAAAATCTCTTCCTCCCCTTTTCTTTTTTTCATTCAAATTCCAATTAAATGCACCCTTAATATTCTAATGAAGGGTTGAAATTCAAATGCAATAATTTCCCTTTCCTAATTCTAATTTATAACTTCTGAAAAAAGATATGTCTATGTCGATGTCGAGTCAGACACATGCACCGACACTCAATGACACTTGTGATTAAGTTTAATTTATTTTTCCAAATTATTACCAATGTTGATGTTCAAATGAATGATTTATAACCAATCACAAAGTTACAATTTTACATACAAAGTTGAAAATAAAAACACCCAGTTGTGAAAACATGAACAAAATCGAAAAACAAAGTAACCCTAATAATCAAAATCGAAACTTTACACGCAAGAAGAAGATAGATAAAAAAGGTGGCGATGTTAGGGAAACTCACTTGGAATGATTGGGGGTTTCTTCTTCGAGCCAGTGACGAATCTGTTTGACGTTTTGTTTGAAAATCGAAGCTGATTTTTTGACGTCGCTTCGGAGGAGAAGCACGACGGCGCTAACACCGGCAACCGTGAGCACGAAATTGGTTATCCCCATTGATGTTTGATTCAACTCTTGATGTGTGCTGATGTGGCTTTGATGTGGGAAGAAGATGGATCACATAGAAAGCCCAAGCCCATTGGGCCAATAAAAAAGGCCCAACTTTATATTGCCAACAAAAATATTTTTTTATTAAAAATGGAAATTAATTTGACAAAATATATAATGTTTTTTTTTTGTGTTAGGAAAATTGGATTTTGGAAATTCACAAGAATTAAAAAAAAATTCATGGCTATTAACAAATTTGTTAGACTTATGATTCTTGTAAAATATAAATTAAATTAAATTAAATCACTCAAAAAATATTGAGTTCGACTCCGAATAAAAATAATCTTTAGTCAGTGTCATGACCTCTCGGCACGAAGTATAGATTATTAAGACTCATTTTCTTTAGAAATCAGAGTGTATAAAGCAAAAATTAAAACAAAATAAATTATTATAATTAAACCAATTTATATTGACAATTATATATTATACATTATTTATGAAACACGATGTTGTATCACAATAGTGAGAAACATTTGAGCTATGCAACTAAGATTTATTGTCTAATAATATATATTTAGAGTACATTTGGATGAATGAAATAGAATAAAACCAAACATAATGGAATATGATGCAATCGAGTTGAGCGAATAGAATGAAACATAAATTCTATTATATTATTTATGTAATTTTTATAATTTGCGAGAACTGAATAAAACAAATTAGTTCATTCCATTATGTACACCTCAAATCAAATGAAATAAAAATTGAAATATTAAATGGAATATGATGGAATGAATTTCATAATATTTTCATTCTGCTCTATTTATTATTTACACATTCAAACAAAGAAATCTCATTATTTATTATTTTATTTCATTCTATTCAATTCTATCTCATATCACCAATCCAAACATACCCTTAAAAAATGTAATCATCGTTTTACTAGAAAAATATGATTCAATGTATTCTCGTATACGGAGCTGTACAAAGGCACAAATACTTCAGACATAACTAACCTTATTCATAACCATTCTTTTTTTTATTTTAAACTTTACACCTTAAAGAATAAATATATTATTTAAGTGTGTTTAGATAATTTAAGATATCGGTTGAGCGTGAAACGAAAAAGAAGTCGAAATGAATACAATGTACTTGTGAATATAATAAAGCGAGAGTCTGATCATGAATTTAATAGCAAGAAACTCTGTATACTAGGGTTTGATGAAATTAGTGAATGAATCTCCAAGCTCTGAGGTTGGAGTATTTATTGAGGGCTTTTTTGGCCTGGTAAGAAGAAGAGGAACAATTTCCCCAGTTTCTCGACAGATACGTAGAAGTATGGGATGATCGGTTCTTCCTTAACTCTTAGAGGAACAATTATTTCCCTTGACTAATGTGATCTAATGTTGACAAGTGATTTTCGACTAAGGGAATAAACCTAAAGCTATGGGAGTTTATTTGGCTAAAGAGGCATAAAGCGGCAGAAAAATATCAAGATGCATCGAGCAAGGAGGAGACGTTGACAAAGAAAGCTATTCGACGAAGGCAGGAAGATTATAGACAGCTGGCGACAGAAGTCAAGGTCGAAGAAGCAAGGACTTGCATTGGCGGGAACAATTATCAACGTGCAGAGCCAACAAGAACATGGGAAGATTCAAATGATTTCTAGGAAATCCAAACGTAGGTTAGTAACCGTCGGCGATTACATGTCTAACACTTCTATTTAAGCAAGTTTTTGTATTTGTGTTAGGGGTTGCATTTCTTCACACTTAATAGAAATACACTCAAAGTACCCACATCTAAGAGAGAAATAAGTTCACACTTAACAATGTATGAATGCTTCCACCTTTAAATTTATAGCAATTTCCAGTATTTGCACTTTAAATTACAAACCTCGTCTTTAGTTTATTTATCTTTTTCCCTTTAATCCTTTTTTCAAGCCAAAAAACACTCATAAACATTAAGTCTGAGATTATTGTAGTCGATCCTGCAAGTAACCTTTAATAAGAGGCTTGTGATTGTTTCGCAGAGAAACAAATTGACACACCTGGTGGGACACGTTTGTGTTTGAGTCTTTTTATTTCGTGTATAAAATTAAGAAGTGGTAGAAAAATGGGAAATTCTGAAAGACATCAAAATTTGGGAGGAAATACCAGTGCAACATCGAGTGTGGGTTCCAGTTCGACGGTTGTGCCTTCGAAAACGCCAATTATAGTTATCACAACACAGTCAATAATGGCAAGACCAACAATAGTCAGAACTATTGGGCCTTATACACCTATTTTCATGAGAGAAATACGTGAGAGTATGTTTCCAAGAAATATCCATGAGTATGGAATTCCTACAACAATGATGGCAGAATTACATACTAGCAGTCTGGCATTTGGCAAAAACTCTGCATTCTTGCCATATCGTCTTACGGGGTTGTCGGGAAGCCAATTTGGGCATTCAACTCAGTTGTGATTTTCTAACCAAATTATGTCCACGTTATCCCCAAGTACCGTTGCTGTTATGAGGCATCAGATGAATGAAAGTAATCATGAAATGATCAATATGCTCACTCAAAAAATGAGCCTCATATTGAGACCATTAATTGAAAATTCAGTACAGAGTTATCAGACGTTAGCAGCGTATATGACTCGCATGAGAGATTTTCTTGGTGCTCTCAAAGTGCCAGTTCGACAAGCTGCACCCCCACCATGTAAGGTACCAATGTAGTACGAGGATGTTTTCAACAAAGAGGTCGAATAGGATCCACCGACTCCTCCACTTGTCGACCCCATACTTAGGGTAGTACAACAACTCCCAATAGTAATAGAAAACTGAAACTAGAATGACGACCAAATGATCAGGCAAATTCGACGTGAAGTAGTGGTTAGAGAGCAAAACCTAGAGGCCATTGTCGAAAGAATAATGGTTAGGAATGGGATGAATACTGGCTGTCAGAGGACTACACACGTTTCTCCATTTCCATATTTCATGTTTCAAACGGAGTTACCAATGGATTGGAAACTCCCAAAGTTCACTAAGTTTGCAGAGGATGTCAAAGAGTCCACTGTCGAACATGTTTCCACATACCAAACAGAACTTGGCGATTTAGTAGTGAATGAGGATTTGAGGATGAAATATTTTATCAATCCCCTTACAAAGAATGCGTTCACTTGGTTTATAACGCTTCCCCCATAGTCGGTCCAGACATGGACCCAATTAGAGAAGTTGTTCCATGAGAAATTCCACACGGGACAATCCAAGATAAGCCTAACAGAGTTGTCCACTGTCAAGTGAAAGAGAACTGAGTCGATAAACCAATATCTTAAGAGGTTTAGACTTCTGAAAGCACGGTGCTTTACACAAGTCCCTGAACATGAGTTGGTTGAAATGGCTGTAAATGGGTTATAGTATTCCATTAGGAAGAAATTGTTGGATACTCAATCTTTGAAAGATATGACTTAATTAGCTATCAAAGTTCGACTGATCAAACATTTGAAAGCTGAAAAACTAAGCCAAACAAGTTTCATAAGAAAGGGAAAGTTGCTTATGTGGAAATTGAACAATGTTCTTCTAACTAAAACGAGTCAGGGGAGGAAACAAAAGTTAACGTGGCTGAACTCCAGCCTGGACCTCGCTATGCATGTAAATTGTTAAAACCGTCGAACAGGAAAAACCCCGTCGAAACTGAGAAGAATGGAAAAGCCATTACTAAGACCTATACTTTCTACATAACCAAATGTGATGAAATATTTGATTTGTTAGAAGTTGATGGTCAAATTATGGCCCCTTAGGGCCTAAAGAATCCTCCACTTGAACAAAAGAAAAAGAGGGGATTATGTAAATTTCATAATTTTCTTGGTCATAAAACTTCTCAATGTGTTATTTTCGGGAATTTAGTGTAGAAAGCTCTGAAAAATGGCAGGATCCAGTTTGGCGAGAAGCCAAAGATACAATTCGACACTGATCCTTTGAAAGTTGAAGAGGATTTATACTCAGAGCCTCTAGATTTCATGATGGTCGAAGCTACTGAGGGCATCGACATAGAAGTTATAATGATTGGTGACATAGAAGTTATAATGGTCGGAACCAATGAAAGTTGCGACTCAAATATGGAAGAAGGGTCACAAGAAGTGTACCCTCAGCCTGGAGAAAGCTTGGTTGATTTCTAAGAGAAATGCAGAGTGAAAGGGTCGAAGGCAAAACTATGCCCAAGATGCAACACTGTATTTGATGAAGAGGCAGCTGAGAAGTATCAAGCTGTCAAAAAAGAGACTTTTAAACAAGAGAAGCCTTCAGTCCCAAGGTTTGTTTTTGACAAGCAAGGAAATCCTCGACACAACAAGGAGTACATAAATTTGTTTCAACAGTCTCGTTCAAAAACCTTCCGCCTTCCATCTGATACTCCACAAGAAAATTGTGTGGAATCAATAAGCCAAAAGGGGGGCAAGAGGCCAAAATGGAAAGTGATTGTGCATGAAGCTGAGGCCCGGGAAAAGAAGGTTGAGTCGAAGGGTTATCAAGTTTCTCCCAACTATAAGGGAAGAAACCAATGATAAGGACTCAATGGAGACAATATTAGATGAACAAAAAGGATGCAAAAGAAGCTTCAACATCTTAGATAAGGCCAATCGAAGAAAAGAGTACGATCAAAGACATACTACCAGCTGATGCCACGAAGCCAGTAGAGTTTCCAATTCCAAAGGTGTATTATCCCAAGTCGAGGCTGGCTGAAAAAGAAAAGGCCATAGTAAATCAAAGAATGGCCATGAGGGTAGCTCATTTGGGTAACACAAAGCTGGTGGGGACAAAAAATATGGAATATACTCATGCACCTTAGTATACTCTTACATCTGAAAGTGAAGGGGAAGAAGAGCCTAACTATGAACATTCTCCAGAAAATGACATGGTGGATGATGACTATGATTATGGTGAGGACTTCATAATTAATTGTGGAATTATGTCGATTATGCCTGCAGAATACGACAGAGTGTCGAAAGTATAAGAAAATGAGGAAGATC